ACAATCCTTTAGCCATCCCTAAAGGGCAGAACTGAAACTCCAAATGAATGACATAATAGGAATATTTAGAAGGCTCTTGAGAATTCAGAGACCTCAAGAATTCTGTTTACCCATAACTGACAGTGTTCTCTGCAATGAGACTATTACTGAATCTCAGAAGGACTTAATGTGAATGCTGTAGCATAACATTTGTTACAGATCCTATCACTGAAACTGAAATTAGGATATACTGAAAAACACTGGGAAAGTTGAAGCTAAACTTCTAGTGCAACAGAACTATACCTAACCAGATGGGCTTAACATCAATAATTAATCTTTTCTTCCTCCTCAATTTGATTTTGTTTTTAGTCTGTTCAGTTTTGTTTACTTATAGAATGCATAGGGGTACAGTACAGAACTTAAGAAAATCTGGTGAGGAAAAGCAACCTCACACTAGTGCTACCTCTGTACAAAGTTTACAGATTTCACAGTGTGTGTTTAAGATAGCCACACCTATAACAGCATGTATTCATCTTTCTTTAGCCATATTTCCCCTCCCTACAGATAAAAGTGCATTCAAAATCCTAGCCAGAGGAGCCAGTTAAAAATACACATCTGAATCATATGTATATACTGAACACAACTTTAAAGCCAACAGGGATACTATTAATAAATATAACTAAACCACCTCAGCTTGCTGCTTTTATTAATCACCTTGTCAGTTCCAGTTAACTACAACTAACACCACAAGGTTTCTCCTGCTGATTTCCTTCATGCTTGTTTAGTTTTAAAATTAAATATTTCAATATACTAGGTAGTATCTTCTATCCTTAGTCTTTGCCCTTGGAGATTTATTTTTTATTTTTTTTTAACACTCCGTCCCTTGTCTGAAGTTCCTGGAGGTTTCCCCTTCTTGTAAAAAGTCTTATCATAGTTCTTGAAACCTTAGGATTTTAAGAAAGCAAACAGGTAAAGTTACCTTTGTCCTACATACATCCTGTACTTATCTGTACAAGAGCATACACAAAAATTTGTTTCTAAAATTCTGGTTTCACCAGTCTGCTCAAAGATACCACTTAAGGATCAGCTCCCAGTTTTGCTAAACTCTACAAAATTGAAGTCCTTGACTCATAAAGCTTCCTGTACGAATACATGATGGGAAAAGTAGATGTAACAAACCACTGACATTTGACCAAAAAAAAAAACCAGGAAGGGGTTAATTAGAACAGTAAAACTGTCTGAAAAGTTGGCTGAACATGTAAGTGTACTTGCTCACGAAATAGTTTCTGCTACTGCTACTCTACAAATAATTGTTTGCAAACATTTCACGCCATCACTCAAAGATGTTCTGAACATCTGTCCTCTGAACAGTACAGCTCCTACTTGACACGTGTCATTTGCCTATCGCTGCAGGACAGAGCCTTAGCCTTCCTCTTTCATGCAGGTTCTTATCTTTAGTCTATGGCAAAAAACAAGCCTTCTCCCTTCTTCCTGCAGCAGGGAAGGGACGTGGGGCCCACAATAAAGGAAACTCATCGTCCTGCTGAGCCAGCCCACATTTTCCCCAGTACTCACCGCAAGCACTACCGCCCGTTTTCTGCAGCACTTCGCACCGGCGCCGGGCAGACACGGAGCCGCCCCACAAACTCGGCGACGGCCCCCCGGCTGCGATTTCGCACGTCGGCCCCTTTCCCTCAACCGAGGACGGGCTCAGACACCCATAGCTAAGCCTCACCACCGAGGCCTGCTGTCTCCTCTGCCCCCGCCTTCGAGGTCGCTCACCAGGGACCCCTGGTCCCTGCCGGCCCGAGGACAGGCCGCCCTCCTGGATAGCTCCGCACACAATCACTGACACGGGGAGCGGCCTGACGAACGGCCCAGCGCAGGCGCCGGCGGCCCGGCCCCGGCGCCACGCAGGCCGGCCTCCCCGCATACCGCCACAGACAGGTGCAGCTCTCCAGCCACCGCCGGGCCCCTGCGTAGCCGAGACTCGGCCCTGGCCTCCTCCACTCCACTCCAGCCCACACAGAAAAACCTCCCCTTCTCCAGCTGCGCACCGCCGTTCGCCCAGGCCCGGCCCTCCGTGGGCAAAGGCTGCCCAGCCCCCTCACAAAGACGAGCCCTTCCCCCCTCCCGCCGGGCCTCACAGTCAGACAGAGAAGCCGAGCCAGGCCGGGCCGGGCCTCCTCCACCCCCTCCTCGGCCAACCTCAGCACCTCGGGCCTCCCGCAAGCCGCGGGGGGGGGAGGGGGTCGGGCGGCCGCCGCCGCCGCCGCCGCCACCACCACCGCCGCCGCCGCCTCCCCCTCCGGAGCCCACTCTAAAGTTCCCCTGCTCCAGCCCCGCTCCACCTCACCTCTTTGGGGACGAGCTGGTTCTCTTCGCTGGGAACCATGGCCGGTAGCGCGGCGCTGAGCCCGCAGCAGGCTGAGCGGAGCGGAGCAGAGCGTCGGCGTCAGCAGCGGGAGGCGGGGAGACGCCAGCAGCTCATCCTCATCCTCCTCCTCCTCCTCTGCCACCGCCCCAGCCGGTGAGGGTAGCAGCACAACCCCCGCGGCCCCCGCCAATCAATGGAGAAAATGGCCACCGGCAGCGCTCTCGCGAGAATCGATTGAACTAAAGTCGCCGCGTTTGCTTTGCTACGGCCGTGGCGTATTAGGGTTTCTCAGCCGAGGTGCGCAGTTGTAGGCCAAGTACGAGGAGCGGTGTAGTAGATGAAATTCCTGCAGGCGGTCAGGGCAGAGCTGCAAATATTGTTCGACTGTCGTTTCGTACCTCCCTTCACGTTACCCTAGCTCAGAGAGCAGCGGCGGGAAATGTCGCCTGTGGAGAGGCCGGGCCGTGGGGAGAGTAGCAAGGGATTAAAACTGAATTGTGGTAGGTAAACAGGGAGGAGGTAGCGTGTCTGGAGAACATGGCCTGCAGGTGTGGGAGAGAGCTTTTCAGGGCTTCTGTCGGCGCGGGGGGCTCGCGTAAGCAGGGCTCCAGTTCTGGCCCCTTGCCCTGACGTAATGGAAGGCCTAGAAGCCAGCCAGCACCCCCTAGCTCTGTAACGCCCGGTTTCTTTCAGCCCGCTCTGCTACTGCGAGGAGCTCTCCCAGAGCTATGAAGCACACGGGCTGCGCTTTTCAGTTTTAACTCGGTTGCATGCTTTTGTTTTTCCTTCACATCTGGGTATGACCAGCTTAGATGTGGGGTTAGAGTTGAAGGAGGAGTGAGAGAAGTAAGCACAACTGCTGCTACTAATGAGCAGGCCCTCTTCTTGATGGCCTGAAGTTGTGCTTTGAAGTTGTACTGTGAAGTTAGACATGTGCTTACTTCTCTGTGAATTTACGGTTAATAGTCTTCACATGAAAGGTTACTAATGTGGCATCACTTGGCTGTTGATTTTTGTCTACAACAAGCTTAAATACATGTTTGTCATGCTACCTGAGGCACACTAAAAGCCAAATACCAATCACTAGAATTATTAAAACACACATTAATAGAAATGCAATTATACATTAATGTCTACTTCATTGCAGAATAATTCATAAGTGAAAAAAAAATCTATTTGGTGAATGGAGTGGTACATTTTTGTAAAACTATTTTTCTTGTTATTTTAGTGTCCTCTTGTGGAAAAATGGAGAATTGAGGATGCTTTTCGGTTTTATGTCCAAGAACATTCATGTTTGGGGTAATTTTCAAAACCCATTGTATTGAAAGGGTTTTTTTAAATCTTTTGTGAATATTTAGGAAAATTAAATTGCCTCCTTTTTAATGTCCAAAATATGTAACTTCTCAGATTCCTCTCAGTCACCTTGCTTTTTTCAAAGGTGAGAGAAATACCATGTTTTGCAGTCAGGAAATGTTATTAGTATTTATGTTAGTGTACTATATTAACACTTTAAAAGTGCTTCAAAGAAGTCTTGGAAAAACAACATCAGTAGTTTTATTTTCAAGTTTCCTATGGTAGGTGCTAAGTTTCCTTTTTTTCAGTTGGGCTCCTTGAGCTAAGCACAGAAATACCCTCATTGAAAACTTAACTGGAAGCTTTTTTTAAGTGTATTTTTTGCCTGTTTTTCATGACATAATATGCAATTACATTGGCATGTTTATCTAATAAAGGTTGGGAGGTTCTTTGAAACAGGACCTCTTGCCCTCTAGTTTTAAAACATGTTGCACCTGAAAGCCCCTCACCTTAGACATTTGAGTTCTAATGTGATGAAATCAAGCATCAAGGGAGGATCCTGAAGAGTCCCTTGCTTTTAAGATACTTCATGTTAAGCAGAGGGTTGTGGAGATACCTCTCCACAAGAGGGAAAAATATGCAAACAAGTTATTTAAGATGTAAGGAAGTACTATTGTGAAGAAGAGAAATTGGTCTCTAAGACTAAATGTTATGCTGGATTTGCAGTTACAGCTAAATTTCTTAGGCTGTTGATAAACTGTTGTCGTGGTTTAAGCCCAGTCAGCCATGCAGCTCACTCACTCCCCCCTTCCCTTCCTCCCCCTGCTCCTGGAGGGATGGGAAGGAGAATCAAAAGAATATAACTAACTCCCATGGGCTGAGATAAGAACAGTCCAGTAACTAAGGTATAACACAAACCACTGCTGCTACCACCAACAATAATAATGATAAAGGAAATAACATAGGAAGAGAATACAACCGCTCACCACCCACCGACCGATACCCCGGCTGACCAAGCAGTGATGCAGCCCTTCCGGATAACTGCCCCCAGTTTATATAGTGGGGATGATGTGCTGTGGCATGGAATACCCCTTTGGCTGGTTTGGGTCAGGTGACTTGTCTCTGCTTCCTCCTGGCTTCCCTTCCTCCATGGCAGGCATGAGACTCAGAAAGTCCTTGGTCAGAGTAAACATCATTACTAAGCGGCAACTGAAAACATCAGTGTTATCAGTGCTGTTCCCAGGCTGAAAGTCAGAAACACAACACTGAACCAGCTACTAAGAAGGAGAAAAATGACTGCTACTGCTGAACCCAGGACAACTATGGTTCAGAGATGGATTAATGAGGGTTGCAAGTGCAGGAGTGTATCAGTTTCCAGCCAGTGACACTTAGCTAGTTCTGGTCAATATTTACCACACTAGTGTATGCATCTTACTAGGGAAAATACAGTTATGCAACATCACTCTGCTAGAGTAAATAGGAGACCTTCATTATACAAGATAATGAACTTTTAAATTAGTCTGGGAATGGGATACCTGCCCTGTCTTCCAGCCTCTTTACTGTTTATGCTTTAAGAATTTCTCCTTCAGTGTAAAAATTCTGTCACTCCTGTTCTGACATCAATATGCAAGATCTAACAAAGAATGACAAGTTTTAAAAACTAAATGGAGGGAGTGCTGCCATGTAGCTCTTTCAGATGCAGTTATATGCTAAGAACTATAGGGGTGCAAAATCTTAAGAAACAGGCAAATGTCAGAATACGTACCCGTACTGTCTTTCCAAAGTAATTTTATCCTACCTGTTTGAAGTGGAAAGCCTCTGTGAAGAGGGTTTGGGATGTCTTTTTTGAAACTCTTCGGTTTTGATTTTTAGAATAGGTTGCTGGTAGGAGACTCATTACCTGTTTCAGAGGTTGGTGGCCCTGTTTGTAGGGTCAGCATTGAGGTGCTTGTTTTCTGCTTCATCGTTCTGTTAAAAAAAAATAACCAACCAACAAACACACACAAACCAAACTCCCCAAAAGCCCCAAACCTGAAGTTTGCAACCTGTGGCAAGTTGCTGATGAATTATCAAAATGACATAGGCATTCTGTATTTGCCAGCAATAGAAGTGTAGCCATGCTGATGCAGTGTTTTCCAAGCTCTTCTGCATTGTCAGCATTTCAAGAAAAAACAGCTGAAGGCTCTTCCCTTTTTAATCTTTAGTAAGTTCACATCTACTGGTAGAAGAAAAGATGTGTGAAAGTTCAGGATACCACTATCCAGCAGTTCGTTGCACTCCGGTTAGTTTGCTGGTCTGAGTCCTGAGTAACATTTCCAGAACTGCACAGGAAGTTTTGAAGCATGCATTTGAAAACCTGTAGCCTGCGGAGTGCACCATCCAGTCCTTTCTATAAGGGGAGGGGGAGAACCAACAACCACCCACCCACAAAAACCCAAACCCCCCAGTAAATTTCGGCCTTACATGGATGGAATGGAAGCAGGAGGAGGGGAGAAAAGGGCAGGTTTATTACGGAGAACAAGTGGTATTTGTGGAAAGTAAAAAAGGGAAAATTACAGAATTCTGCATCTTTAAAGGTGATTTTTGATAGATTTTTATTTCCTTGATCTTAGCTCCCAAATACTAAGCAGGTCAATTAAAGGCTAAAGAATAAATTGAAATCTTTGAAAGGGGAACTCTGATTTTAACTCTCCCCTGCCTCTTGTTAGAAGGAAGGTTTTATATTTTAGCATTTGGGACTGTTTCTTGAATGTGTTAAGTGCTGGAATCAAGGTATTAATTTAAAGGTAAGGAATCATTAAATTTTCTATTATCTGTATCTTAAAAAAAATCTTTTTGTAGTCTTCACTTTCTAAAGTAGTGTATGCAGAATTTTAGGAATCAGTTTCTGAGAGCTGAGAATGCTGTGGCAAATCAAAGCTTTAAATGTGAGATTTTCCATGGGAAAAGTATTCTTTTGCTTTAGAAAGACCATTGTAGTTGGTCTTGTAGGCCTAGTAGGTAGATAGGTAAGCAAGTAGCCCTCTGAAGTTAAACTTCAAGAGATTAAGAAAAACTTGGGTATAAGTGCTGAACATAGTATTCTGCTGTTCTTAAGTAGTGTTTTATCCTACAATCTTGACAAGCATCCAGGTGCTTTTCTGTCCTCTGATACGGTAATTCATACCCAGACCTTTTTAATCAAAACCAGTAGGGGATTATTTTAATTAGCTGCTAAGATTCATTGACATTGTTGCTAAAGATTATATTTTGCTCTGGTTTTGAGACACCAGGTGTTCAGATGTTATCTTAGGAAGTTAGCTTTCTTTTCCATGATAACATTAATCTTATGTATGAATTCCCAAATAAATATGATACCGAAATTATAGTTGTAAAGAGAAATAGAAATCCTGCAGAGAGTTTTGGAGGCCCATGTATTTCTTTAATCACACTAATTCTGTTATCAGTTTGGTTTACCTTTTTCAACAGTCAGTAGTTAAAACTGGAGAGCTATTTCTAGCTTTAGTAGTCTATGCAAAAAAAGTTTGGTCTCCTGATGCACTTGTCGAAACCTTCTTGGTGTCAATGCACTAGCAGGCAAACTTCCACTTTGTGACCTGAGAGTTTGTAAACAGGTGTGAGCTGGTATCATGCTTGGAAATCTGCTGTCTTTTCAAATATGCAGACTAGAAGTGTACTGTATATATCCTCTCTGGAATATGGGCTTGTGTGTTATCTAACCCCTTCTCCAAGGCTGGGAGAGGGTGGGGGGAAAGCATCTCTATTCACAGCAAAGGCTTACCTGTGGGAAAGCAAGAAGAAAGGAGAGTTGCTGTGAGTGCATACCATGGTGGTAATGTCAGTCACCAGAATAGTTCATTTATTTTGGAGGTTCAGCAAAAGCTCACAGTGACATAGCCAATGTATTTAAAAACATTGCATTAACACTTACTGCACATGAAGAATTGCTGTTTGAGAGTCATCTAAGCATGCAAAGACAGCACTAAATAAGACTATGTAATATGCAAAAATAACAGAGTAGCTTAGGTTTGCATGGGCTGCTCTCGAAATGGATACCCCAAGTATTTATAGCTGCCCTTGGGTCCAGGGGATTTAAATAGTTCAGGTTTGCATTAGGGGTTCCCAATAACCCTTCAGATCAAATCTAGTGACGTTTAATATTACAAGCAAGTGCTAATTATAGTGCTATTTGTACAATCAGGAAGTGGTTTCCCATCCTCAGCAAGTCCTAGCACATAGGGAACTTCATCCTGGCCTTCCCCTGGATGAAACATGTTTTCTTCACCTTTTCTTCATAAGCTGTCATGATTATCAGCATAAAGCGGTAGCTTGCAGCTGCCTGGGCTTCACCTCATCTCTCACTGAGGGGAGGGAAGGAATTGCAGCAGTTGGCATATTTTGACTGTGCCGTTTCATGGCTTTGAGTGCAAGGGGAGTACCTGCAGCAAGATCTGTGCTCTGTCTTGTGACATGATCTGTCTCTGCCCTCTCTGTACAGCCAGCCTTCTGTACTGAGGAGGGGGTGGAAAGCAGGAGGGGTCTGTCACCTCTCTTCCCATTTCTTCATGAATGCTGCTTACTGAGCGTGTTTAATGTGGTGTCTTTCTGCTTTGCTCTGTGCCCTCACTAACCATTTTCTTCCACTGGTGATGGGAAGAATCTTGTCTTTTGAGCAGTATTTTGGCATGGCCTGGGTTATAACTGGTTTAGGATTGCTGTGGGGAGAGGAGTGGCTCTCCATGTGTCATGATTCTTCCTGACGGGGCGTTCTCCTTTCTGTCACAGGAGGGCCATGTGTTTGCAGCCCTGTAGCTTTCTGCTTGGGCAGTCTACATACACTGTGGTAGGGGCTCAGAGCATCCTGCAATGAGGTGTTACTAAAGTAGCTTTTAGCTGGTGTGTGTATAGCTGTTGGGAGGCTCAGTCTAAAACCTGCTGCTGGCACCGTAGTTCTCCAAGCTCAGCCTTGTCCCTGTTTTGCAATAGGCTGTCCCTTGAGCATCTACAGATTTCTTGGGCTTTAAGGGATAGTCTGCTGTGGGGGTTGCTGAGCTCTTTCTTGCACAAATTACTGTAGCTTTACCTTTGGCAGCGGTGAAGGGAGGTGACAGAGGTCTTGCATAGCGTTTAAAATGTCAGCTGCCAGTCTAGAGCAGCTGCCAGCAATGGAGCTCTGGCAGGGACAGGGCGAATGTGGAAAATGTTAGTGTGGACACAAGCATGAGTCAAGCTGGGCAGCGACTTGTGTACAGAGTATCCTGATGTTGGTAAAATGCCCGTTGAAATCTCCCAGCAAATTGTCTCCTGTGTTGCTTGAGTTATATATAAGGACATGCTACAGGCTCTTGGCTGTTGTATTTTGTATTCAGACGTGACTGTAAGTGGCCTGTAAGAGTGTGGGGTCTGTGCAACTGGTATTGTCTCTGCTGGGTGAAACATTAAGACAAAGCACTAGGGAGTGAGTCTTAAGAAAGAATGTAGTTTCTAAAGCCAATCATTTTGTTCGCATGTATATTGATTTTCAGGTTTTCTTTAAATGACATTTAAATGTTTGGAATTCATCTGTTGGTTGGATTGAATTGACATGGGAAAAATAATAAAACACAAAAATTTGTAGCTACTGTCCTTGCTTGTCATCATAGCCTTTGTGAGAAAATGGCTCTGGAGAGCAGGTGTGTTTCCTCAGCATTTTTGTTAGAAGCCTTGGCTACAGGGGTTTGAAATGTGTGCACATTTATGCCAATTTGAATCTCCCATTTGCTGTTAGTGTGGGAAATAAATTTATTTTTATGCTGTTACTTCTTTGCAATGAATTGTGCCAGCTGTTCTAAGTTAGATGCACACTCATTTGCCTATTACCTCTGATTTAAACCAGGCTTCTTAATTGGACCTGTTAGGCATAAGCATGTCTACCAGAGATGCCCAATAGGTAGAGACAAATTTCACATCATTTGGATTGGATCCAAATCCATTCATGAGATCTAGCTTTCTAGCAAAGGGTTCTTCTATACAGCAACGTTAAAGGAGGAGCACTTGTTGGGTTTATGGTTTGGCTGGCTAGTAATGAAGGGTGCATCCATGGAATGCAAGGCTGTGTGAATTAGAAAGGTCTCAGTGCCAGGCTCATAGATGTAATAGTAGGCTGGATACTGTAGTATTTACCACAGTGTTTTACATAATGGGATTAATCTATGCCCTTGCACTGGAAATGTGTGCCTTTCATGTCCTGTGCCTTTGCATGTGTGCTGGGTTTGTGTTCCTTATGGTAACAAAAGATTCCATTAAGCATCCTGTACCAATTTAAATACTAACTGGCATACAGAACTATGCTTTTGATACCACTGGTAATGGAAATACTTACTGAAATGAAATTTCGGACTTCCTGATGGGAATGCTACCAGGGTAAGAGTGAGCCAAAACCGTTCATGAAGTTTTTGCTGTTCTAGTTTTACTTCTGTGTCCAGGAAAACTTGCATATACAATGAAAACCCGATCATGTTCTGCATCCAAGATCTTGGTTGTATTGCAGATTTATTTTTTAGTCTAGGAGGGTTTCTGAAATGGGAAAAGTGTAAGAATCAGATCATCAGAGGGTTATTGTCAAAACTGCCCAAGAATTTACAAGTGAAGAGAATAAAGCCAGTCATAGTTGTCTTTTATGTCTTTTATGTTTGTTTTGACCACTGAATTCTAGGAAAAAATAAAAGCCCAACTATAACATACTTTCCTAATGGCAAAATTTTTGTTAATACCTTGACTATCCTTCAATCTGGTCTTCTCAATTTTAGTGCTATTCCTTTAGCCTCTTCCTTTTCTTGCTGGTCCTGGATATTTTTTTCAAGGATGGACTGAAACTTGTGGCCTGTGTTTTGTTAATCTGCCTTCTGTTACTTATTTTCATGTCTTTGAAATTATTCAGGATGGCACTAATGTAGTATACATGTTTTAGGCATGAAGAGGTTAATGAAGCTTTACCTACCTCATAAAAACATTCATGTTCTTGGCAGCCTTGGTACACTAGTTATTGCCTGCAGTCTCAAAAAGGACAATTATCCTTTTGATTGTTATATTTCTGTACAGCCAAGCTAGATTTAACATTTTTAAAGGACCTTTAGGGTCCTTTTTTACACTCCTCAGCAGTAAATAGCAATTTTATGGTGCCTCTTTCAAAAAGCAAAAGGGCAACTTTAGTAAATAGTTAATCAAAGCAAGAATCCCTATGTTAAAAGGAATAAAATAATGTTCATGAAGAGGTGTTTTGAATATGTTTTTTGTGATTTAATTTTTAGACATAAAAAATTCATGGCATAAGAAACAATTCCCAAAGCCCCACTACTACTAGTTGGATTCTGGTTCTCTAGCTGCTTAAACCATGGCTTTACATTAGGGTGAAGTAACTAGCTTTTTTTTATTATTTTATAATTTAATTTGAGGAAGGGGAAAAAGTGAAAGCAGTAAGAATGACAGTGGATACACTATTTAAAAACTCCGATAGAAGTGAGTATTTGGGGAAATTTCGGACTAGCTAGCTCACTGTGCTGCAGTGGCTATTTCAAATCCATCATGTGACTGAGAATGATGCCACTCGTACTTGGATTGCTTAATGACTTTTTACAGGCAATGTTATGTTGTAAAACAGTTAGGTAAGATGTTTCAACCACAGAATTAGTTTGGTACTAGTATGCAGTATGAAGAAACATTTTTAAAACTTTACTACCTGCTGGACGTTCATAGGCAAAACTAAAGAACTAGGTATGAAGTAAATACCCAAGCTGGTATTTCTTATGCAGTGCTCTGTTCATCCATATAAAGTCTTGAGATGTGAGAAGTATGTTTTTGAATATATGGTTATGTTGTTTGGTCCTGTTGTACCCATGACTATTTGCCTGTGTACATTTCAGGAGTCTGTAACTTACTGTTAAATACATAAGGTATTTAATGTATCTGAGTGTTGCTGCAGTCTTAAATCTTGGAAGTAGTTGGGATTTGTGATTTTGAACTGCTGCTCAGATTTCATTAACTATTTTGCATTTTACATTTTTAAGGGGGGAGTGCTTCTATTTATTATATGCTACTTTTTATTTATTAACATTAGCTAGTACTACATAGCAAACATACTCTGTTATAGCTGAAATATCTAAACTTGGAGGTATGCCACGTATGCCGATCCTGAGACAGAGTATGGGTGAGTGCTGCTATTTTGAATCCAGAGTTAAGAGTGTGACTTGGGCAGTCTTTTCTACTGTACACTAGATGTATCTATACATTAAAAGATACTAGATCTTAGAATCCTGTTGTGAAATGTTAACTGCACAGAATGTCCTTTTGTTTCTTTGAATTTATAACATGTCTTAATCTCATTTTAAAAAACAAAGCAAAACAAAAAACAAACCCAACAAACAACAACTTAAGGTTTTTTTTAAGACCACAATTAGGCCTTCCTCAATCACTGTCCTGAGAGGCTCTATGTGAGTAGATTATCATCTCTCTGGGTATACAAAGTGAATACTTTTATTTTAATAGTATTCTCTAACATCATCCTAACAGTGTTTCCTTGTGCTAAGTGAGCATTATATCATCAAAAAGTATGTGAAAGAATATGGAAATTTCAGATATCGTGACATGGTTTAAGCCTATATGAGAACATCATGACATAGCTGCATGTGAACAGTAGACTTCACTATGCATGATGTAATTCATGGCACTTTACATTTTGCAAGTTACTAGATATTTTTCACATGAATTTCAAGAATCCTCTTTTCCTAAGCTCTCCCAGTTAAACACAAAAGAAGGAACTAGACTTGTGTATTTTATGTAAATTAGAATCTTATCTTGATGAAAGACAACCCTCCAAAAAAGGACGTGGCAAAGTGAAAGGTAATTCCAAAAAGTTTTGAAAAGAACGGGAGACAAAGGGATTAGAAAAGAAAGAAAAGTAAATCTAATCTCTATGAAATTTTAAAAGAGAGCCTGTATGCGTGGAGGGGTGTGTTCATGATTGCAGAGGCAGCCCTGGGTGTCAGACACCTTGTAGACAGGAGGTTGGTGATTCTGCTGTGAGCTGTTTTGGTAGTGGAATGAAAGCAAGGTTTGAGAAGAACAGGAAATTACATAAGGATGTCTCTGTTGGATGTTTACTAGCCAATTTTACTGGAATAAACAGCTGTGCTGGCAGTACAGTGTCTCTTTTGTCATCTAGTCTAGCAGCATGGGAGATGGAAGCTTAAAAGCTCAGGCCTTGAATTCAGTGAAGGAAATCAAAGGGATAAGGCAACTTGTCATATGACTTTCAAAACTTAAGCAGTGCAGAGTAATTTTGATTACAGACAAGAGCTTTTTAAATTCAGAAGTTCTTTTTGCAAGTATTGCTCTGTAAACAGAACTTTGACCAACATAGAGGTTGAAACCCTCACCTTCCCCATCTTCCCCCCAAACCACCTCCCAACTTTCTTCCCCTATGCTGTAGGGGTATTCTATGGTTTCTTACAAGTCTTTGGATAGAGAAGCCTGTGATAGTCAGGTTTCTCATTGCAGGATGACAGTGACATGGGGAAGATAAATTCCTCAAGAAGAGTGTGTGCAATGCACACAGAGACCTTTCTCAGTTCTCCAGCCTTAGACAGCTTTTTATTAAATGTCTGCAGACTGATTCAGTGACTAGACCTCAGTTTGCCTGGCAGAATTAGATGGTGATGGTTTTGCATTTTTTTCTAGGTGTATGTAGACATTTGGATCCACTAAATGTCCTCCTGCAGGTGTAATATTTTCACAGAAAAGAGAAAATAATGAATTTACTATGTCACAGGTATTTCACGAGGGAAACTATGTTACTGCTTAATTAATCTTGTTTCTTTACAGTGAAGGTGATTCAGATGCTGAGTTTTCTAGAGTGCCATGCATTAATCTAGTGCCAGAGCACAGACAAAAAAACAAAACAAAAAAAACCCACACCACACCCCACAACAAAACAAACCAAAAAACAACCACCAGGAATTTAATAAGACTGAAACATCCTTATTCCACTGCTGAGCAGACTGAAAGGAATGCGTTTACATGTATTCACTGGAGGCTGCAAAGGTTCATTTTTTATTTCAGTACAGTAGAATGTAGTGAGTGGGTTGGGAAGAAGTATGCTTTTGTATTGAAACTATAACACTTCTAGCAGAGATAAAGAATGCTTAATTTACCTTCCTGAGGTCTGTATTCTCCCCAGGCTTTCTGCACAATAATGTCCAGAGATTCCTCAGCTCCATTCTACATCATCAGCCAGTTAGGATGCATTATAAAAATGTACCCTTTCATAACTCCTGAGATGGGAATAGTTTAATATTAATTATTAATTATTAATATTAATATTAATTAAATAGTTTAATATTAATTATTCTTAGCTGAATAGCTGAAACTCAGTGACAGTGTTTCGATGTTAGTGTTAAATTCTGTAGTTGGAAACAAAGTTCAACTAAATAGATAAGGATTTTGCCAGCACTATAGAAAAACATTTATGCTATTATTTTATGATACTGTAGGAATTGTAGTAACTTTATGTAGGTTATATTTAGACTCATTTGTTATTCTCAAGGAACACCTGGCAGATCTGTATTTCTGTGTAGTTAACAGTGCTTTTGACTTTGTTTTCGGGAAAAGGAGAATGAGAGGCAGAAAACTGAGTGGAATGAAACTTTGGTGTAGGTCTAGCAAATTTAAAGGAGTTTAAAGTATGAGAAAGAAATGCTCTGTGTTTTTTCTCTTTTAAAAAATAATATAACATCCAAAGATTTTACTTGCCTTGTTCATGTTTTATTTTTGTGGCAGATCTGGAATACCTAGGATAGCATACTCACTGTGGCTAAAATAGAAGCTTCTGTAATGATCTCATATTACAAACTTGCTATCCTCAGTAAACTAGGGTTTGTTTTGTTTGGGTTTTTTTTTGTTGTTTACTTGGGGCTTTTTTGTGTCTGAATAGATACACAAAAACCTTTTTATTACTTAAAATGGAGTAAGAGTACCGGAACCAGGTTCTTAAAGAGTTTAACATCCTTCATTGACAACAGTGAAGGTGAGACTTATTAAAAACTTGAGCCTAAACAGATTTGGTTAAATACTAATGGCAGAAGTGTTCCTAATTAAACAGGTATCGTGAAGATAACATTCAGAAAATAGATAATTTGGGAAAGTTACTATCAAATTGCAGAAAGAGTGCTGGCATTCTTACCTTTTTAGACTTACACTCACTTCCGCTGTGCTAACTTACCTGCTTGCTGGTTTCTGTTTCCTTTTAATGGAGTTCTTATGTAGAGATAGTATTTTAAGTTTCTTACATAGCAGCATTTCCAGAGTAGAAATTCTGCCTTTGTTCAGTTAGCACTCAACATACTGGAATTTGGATGTTTAGATATTCCTGTAATAAGTTTAATAACTTCAAAGATTTATTCCTCTAATAAATTTTCTAAGTATTTATTAAGCTATTCCTCAAAAGCTTGATGTGTAAACCCTATTTATCCCTTATTTTCTTATAGAGACTTTGAAATTAATTTGACATTAATTTGGTAGCA